GGGCGTATTAGTAGTCCCACATCTATGATCTTGGACAGTACGAGTTGCTTTTTGAGGTTAAGTTACGATCACTAATCCTTTTATTCCTTTTTTTAATTTTAATTTGTTAGCCAAGCATTGCTAGCATACTCAAAAGCATCAGCAGAATTAGAAGAAATGGTGGTGAAAATGGTTTTCGAGAGCTATGGTGTAGAGAAATACTATGAATCACATGTCAAATCAGTGAATTATCTAGCTAGAGTAATGAAATATAGAGAAGCACAAGTAGAAGAAGCAAAACTGGGATTTGTTGCTCATACAGACAAGAGCTTCATGTCAACAATTCATCAGACTAATCAAGTTAATGGTTTGGAGATCAAAGGGAAAGATGGACAGTGGTTTGGAGTTGAGCTTTCCCCTTCCTCCATCGTCGTCATGGCTGGGGACGCGATCATGGTATCGATCTCATTTCATTCGTCACTAATACCAAATATCACCCGTTATAGAAGTAAAAATTCATAAAATTCAAATTATGATTCTACCTCTTATTTTTATAAGTAATATTAAATTGAATAACTTAAAAGATAAGTAGGAAGAATAAATGAAAGAAGCATAGTAGATATTTATGAAATAATTATCAATGTGGATAATACAATAAGTAACCTAGTACATATATACACCAGATAAATATATACTGATAACGTAAAAATTCTTTTATAACGTTAAGTGTGTATAAAAGTTCTTGTCTTTATATTTGATATTATTTGTTGGATAATAGGCATGGAGCAACAATAGGATAAAATCTCCACATCATAGAGTGATGATGGGGGAAGAAAAAGGAGCAAGATACTCCATAGCACAATTTTCATTCATGGAAGATTCACTAATGGTTGAAACACCAAAAGAGCTTGTTGATGAAGAGCACCCTTTACTATTCAACTCATTCAATCATCTTGATTATCTAAAGTTCTTTAGCAAAGAGGAAAATAGAAGACTTGAATGTGCTCTCAAAAGCTATTGTGGTGCTTGATATGCAAATTGCTTGTAATAGTTTAATTTCCAGGAGGTGAAAGAAGGGGAAAAGGAAAAATAATACTAATAAAATTTCAATTAATATGATTTTGATGTAAGCATCGAATTAATATGATTTTGATGTAAGCATCGAATGCGAATAGCTTTTTTAAAATATTTTTTAAAATTATCCTCATTAAGAAATTTGTGAATTCCTTTTCGTTTTTTCAATTATGAGGTAGCGTTGGGTAATAGATTTTAATATATTTTTACTTAATTTGATATTTATAAAGTTCGGAATTGAAGATGGAATTGGGTCTGATTATACCTTTTACGAAAGATATTATTTTTCAAAGGATATTTGAAGTAAAGTTCATGCTTGAATGTATCTTAATATAACTTCAAAAGTAAAAAACATATTGAAAATAATGTTATATACGATTTATCAAACATTAATTTTCAAATTAGTGAACATTTATTTCAAAAAAAGTCACTCAACGTAACTAATAGTCACTCAAATTTATTTTATAATAGAAGAGATTTAATTTGATTGTAGATACGTACGTCAACATGTGCAGGGTAGGGCCGGAGGAGGTAGCCATGTGAATCCATTACGCGCGGATTCAGTCTGGCCCCACCGTTTATTTCTGAGACACAAGACAATCTAAAAAGTTTTTTTTCCCTTCAAGTGATCACTCAATTATTGCTAATTCACTTACAAAATCATTCAATCAATTCAAATAATATTTCCATGTCAGCTATAGTTGTTCTATTTTTCAAAAGAAAAAAAGAATACCGGATCCTTTGAGCAAACTATAATCTTATGCATTGATCATTCTCGATCATAGATGATTATATTAATTCAAAAAGATAATAAAGTTTTTTAATACTATAAAAGTTAAGTAACCAATGTAATAGTCAAACGAGTCATAAAATTTTGAATGGAACTCTTCGCAATTTTTTGCCGATGATTTTTTTTTTTTGGGGGTGGGGGGAGGGGATAATTATTTATTAAATGATTTTTTTTTGTTTTCTAGTTTATGAACCTTTTAGAGTTTAGACTACAATTTAAATTTTTTATTTGAATAAATGGAAAATCTTATGAAAATAAAACGTTAGATTAATCACCCGATCAATGACAATCTATTTTTTTTTTGTAGACGTTAACAATAGGTAATGTTTAGTCAGTACTAATATTTAACATGCTGTTGTACTATATCTCTGCATTATAATAGGTCGTTTCCCAACGTTATGTTTGAATTTTGATGCACATATCTAAAAAAATAAAAAAGTTAGACCGAATTATTATTATTTTTCAATGTTGAACAGCAATATTTACAAAAATTCAGAAGAGAAAAAACGAAAATTAAACCATTATGGATCAATTAATGTATGACCTTTTGGACTGTCAAAAGTTGTAATTACTTAGACACACAATTTTAAAACCTAGTTGAATGTTCTAATTATGTCGAGATCAATTATATCATCCCTTTGACGTTTAGCTGTGGAGACAACTAACCATTTCACATTATTAGCTAGAAAAATACACCAAAAATTTATAATTTAATATGTTATCAAGATTAATGGGTCCAAAATCTGCGTTCATGCATTATATCATCAACAATTTTATAGCTTTAGTTTATTCCTCTTTTTATCAATTTCTGTGATCATTTTATCGTCCAAGTTATGATTGGTAATATATATTTTCTTATAGTTTAATCTTCAAATTTATGGCTTGTGTTAGCATAATTAATGTAACTTTTATATTTTAATCTTGAGCCTGTATATTTGCCAGGATTCTCCTTTAAGGTAGACCAATTTACGAATAATTTGTGTTTTTTAAAAGAATGGGTCCAAAAAATATTTTTAATTGCAAAAAAATGTCACATTAGCTGATCAATTCTATATGTATTATTGGGACAATCATATACATAATTTTTTAAATATAAATAATCATCAATCAAACACTTTATTTAATCATAAAAGATTGTTCAGGATAAGATCCTCCTAACAATACATTTTGGACTTTCTAGCTATTTTTGCATTGAATATCTTAATTTGACATCACACTACAAACACAAAAAACAACAAAACAAATAGTACTCTATAAAAATAAATAAATAAGCTTTCTTCGAAAAACAACAAACCAACAAATACATTGTAAAAGAATTTAAAATACACCTACAGCCCACCCAACAGCTAACAAATATTTGAATATTTCCACATGAATTTCGTTATTTTTATTATATATATATATATATATATAGCTTAAATTTTAAAATTATGTGAAAATACTTCTTTGTCTATTCACTTGATTCTCAAACAAGTATTAGCTAGCTGGCCATCGAATAAAAAGTAGGAGCAACGCTTAATTTTTTTGATTTCATAATGGATTATTATTCGATGTGATAAAAAGAAAATGTCTTAACCACCATATGTTCAGCATTATGTAAATATTTCTTATGCTAAAGCATAATTTAACATGTTATGTCACGTTATCTATTTTTAGAGCCGATAAAATGAGTTTTCGCATATTCACTCTAAATTTCTAAAATTGTTATTGGGTATATAGCAAGAGTTAATGGGAAATGGAGGGAAGATGAAAAGAGAGGAACTTGAAAAGTTCTCTTATGCTTTAGTAAATGACATTTCTCCCTCATTGGTGGTGGAAAGAAAAATAGAAGGGTTTAAATAGAGAAACACTTCTATTAGTTGTTAAAAGTGTTGGAAAGAGGGACCCCCCTCGCACCGTCGTCGTCGCTCGGATTCGGCTTCGGCCGAAAAATGATCGATCGACATATTTTATTTTTTTGGACAAAGTTTGTTTTAATTAGTTAATTAATTATTTATTTAATTAAATGGCCAAAACGTTTCAATTATTTAGTTAATTAACCGAAACGTTCCGACCTGACTCGGATCCGCGCGACCCGTTTTATTTAAAACACTTTCCCGTTTTAATTTGAATTTCCCGCCGTTGGAGATGATTGTTCTGAAAGGTTGCAACTTTCAAGAACAACCATGACCGTTTGAAAGGTTGTAAACTTTCTGGAATGGTTGTCTGGTTTCTGAAAGGTTGCAACCTTTCGAAACCAGTGCATCTTGGCTATAAATACCACTGATTCTTCAGATTTTTTATTTACGAAAAATTCTAATTTCTTCTTCTTCTTCTTCTGCACAAATATTTTTTTTCGTGGACTTTACTGCCGTTGAGTGGCTCGCTGACACCAGGGTTTTGGGTATCAATACACTGGTGATTGAGATCATTCTATCCTAGAAGGACATATTCCAAATCAAACCTCAGATACTAGAGGGGAATAATTTCCTTAAGGGGACACTATGCATTCAGTGGCTTGATCTTCTTCCTATTATGTTTTTCCAGATTCTGGTACATTTTTACATATTTTAGTTTTGTTAATTAATTTCTGTTCTTCACTGGTTCATTGGAAACTTTGATAACTTCGTGTTTCTGGTAATCGGTATTACTTTTATAGCTTAATCTTGAGCCTATATATTTGCCAGGATTCTCCTTTAAGGTAGACCAATTGTTGACACCCAATTTTGACCGACCTTTAACCATTTTTGTGAATGCTATTCAATTAAATACGTATTCTGAAATATATCTTGAGTTTAAAATTTAGTCGATTTTGACTAAAAAATTTATATATTTAGTATGCATACTTTAAAAATTATTGTAGATATTACTAAAATAGTTTTTTTTAAAAAAAATTTATTAGCAAAACTCGAAATAACTATTTTATTTAAATGTTTAAAATTTAGATGTGTATAATTTGTATGAAAATGTTTTAATATACTTAGTATTTTATTAATTGAATAGCATCTCCTTAAGTTTCCCTTAAATCATTTAAATTATAGCCTAAACTATATGATTTTATTTCAATTCTAGCCTAATCTATTCCAATTTTATTTCAATAATAACCATCCTCTCATTGCAATTCTAGCCAATTTTATTTCAAATTTGGCCATTCCAAATCCAATCAAATCTGATTTAAAACCCCTCTTCTAAATCCTGACCATTCATCTCATTCCGTTTAAATCCTGGCCCTTCATCTATAATTAAATCAACGGACAAGATCGATTCCTCTCATCTTTCCTATTTTAAATCCTAAAAGACTAACCCTAAAGTTTATTCACTTTTCCTCCTCTCACTTAAAGATCCAGCAGCCGCCATCCCTCCACCTCGCCATTTTTTCCGGCGAAAGCCATCGGAGGCAGATCCTCCCCTCTCCGGCGCCCTCTCTCTCTCCCCCCCTCGTCTCTTCTCCTTTCTCCCCTCTCGCAGCTCCAGCAGCCTCCATCTCCGGCGAGCGACCAGACGAGAGAAGCAGCAACACCGGCAGAAACCAGCGCCACCAGCAACAGCCAGCAACACTGGCAGCAGCAGCCAGCAACACTGGCAGCAGCAGCAGCCACCACGAAAATCAGCAGCAGCAGCCACCACGAAAACCAGCAGCTCCAGTGCTCTGATCAACTGCTCTGGCTAACAGCAACAACAAACAACAAAAACAGCTAGACCCTCGAGTATCCATTCCTCTCGTCTCCGGCGAAGTTTGAGTTCGAAGACGGATCTCAACAGATCCGTCCTAGTAAGTTTTAATCTAAATGTTTTAAGCTTTTCATTACATCTTTGGCTATTGTGATATGGATGTTTTGAGAATTCGAGTCTTACATGATCGGCTTGATTTCGTTTATTATTATTGCCCCGTTAACCCAATAAGTGCTTGATTTCGTATTGTGATTATATGTTGGTTTGTGTTTATTACTTATTTGTCTTGCTTAGCCATATGAGCATAAATCTTGCATTTTGCTTTAGTATTATGGGTATTAGTAATACTAGCATGTTTGTCCTTGATTATGTCTGCCAAATCTAGATATAATATATAATCTTTAAAGGATGTGGAATGACTTTGTTAATTCGGCTCAATAATAAAAGTTTGATTCTTGGAATAATCGATATATTTGCTTATATGAAGTCAGATTTTAACAGCAGGCATTCCATTACTTATGGTAATTTTAGCATGCTAATTGACTCTTATTAGTAAATTTGAGCAAGATTACTATGGTGATTGAATCCGTGAATTAATTCTTCTTTGCTCATAAGTCTTACCATAAATATATTCTGTGCCAATTTGTGATTTATATGATTGTGCTAAATTATTTTAAAATGCGAGCATAAATCTGAATGTAATCCCCTTTCCTTAAATAACTTATGTCTATTAGTTTAACTATATCAATTATTTGTCTAAAATCATTCTCTTTGCCTATTTTACATTCTGACTATTGTTGATTGATTTACCTTAATTAAATAGGACTAATTTTATGTGATTATATTTGGTAATGTTTGATTGATATGTTTCTCTTGGTAAGGAAATATTTTCTCCATAATTGCTCCTAATTGATTCTTTTCCTTTAAAATCACGACCTCTCCTCTGCTATAAAACAAGGTCTTTGCTTCACTCTTTGAGGGAGAAGACAACTCTTACACTTGGCTTAGACTAAAAAAAAAAGAATACTAAAAATACATTGCTCTCTACTTTTAAAAAATAAGTTTTCCGGTAAACATAAAGGTTCCTCTCTGTGTTGCTGTTTTGCTGTGTTCGGGTACATTATCTGATCTTCATTGCTGATAAATAATTCTGCATAATTGGTTAGTTTCCTTCCACTAGTTTAATCTTTGCATTGTTCATATTTTATGTATGCTTGAAATAATAGAGGAAGCATCCAGTTTAGTTCCCTTATCCCTTTCTTTCTCAATATGTGATTACATATTCTCCACGACTTGTTGGAATTCTTACATGTCCATACGCTGCTTGTGTATATGAATTAGTTAATATTATGCGTGTGCCCAGGAGTTCTACCACTTTTGCTATATCAAATTAGTTATCATTACTTGCTTCTATTTTTGTTACATGTTAACAGGTTTTGAACTCAAAGTTCAAGATATTGAAGAGTTGCCATTGAAGGAAAACATTAGACAAGCTAAATTTGTTTAATTTGGGTTTTATATGTTATTTAATTTCTATTATTGTCTTGTAATAATTTGTAAACTCTAACTCACTCTCATATATGTAATAACTAGTGAATTTGGCCGCGCTTCGCGCGGTGGAATTACTCATTTAACAAATTCATTAATAATTTGAAATTTGATTTACTACTATATAGTTTATGAACTATAATGCTAATTGTTTTGAAAATTCTTTAAATGTTATAAACCATAAAGAATTGTTTATATATACTTTATAAATTTTAAACATGTTAGCTTTCATATAAAGTGTTGCTTGCTACAACAAAAAATTAACATTCTATTTGGTAGAAGAAAGAAAGAAAACTATAGGTAAATAGATGAGTCAAAGATATCAAAATACTTGTGAATGATAGTGCTTTATCGAGCAAGAACTCATATGTTAAATTATTTTAAATTTTTTATTATGCACTTTTCAAGCTCATTAGTATTCTCTCTCAGATAGTATAGTTACATTATAATTTTAAAAAAAGGACCGACATGCTCGTGTTTTCTTCACCTTTGGTTGTTTCTTTGTTCTTCACAGTTGTTTTATATTTCCCTTTTGTTTCAATACACTCTAAAGATAGAAATGTTCTTCAAACTCCACAAATAGAACAAACATGTAAAAGAATAACTTATGAAAATTATAGAAACATTTGAGAAGATGATATACTTGTAGTGCTCTCCATTTAAACGAATGTCTGAGATCCTAATAATTTTACCTGAAATCTTTTTGTTGCCTGCACAAAAATGACATATCCGATGATGATATTTGGTTGCCGATAATAATATGTAACTGCATATAATCACAAAACAATTATGATAAAAAATAAAATAAAAAGGATAGCACACATACTACAGAAGGAAAGCAAATATGATTGAGTTTGATGATGTTGTATAGACTTGGGAAGAAAGATCAATTTTTATTTATAAATATTGCCTAAGACCTGT